CCTGAAGGACTCAATTAGTTTGATCAGGTGTGTTTAATTAGGGTTGGAACTAAACTGTGCAGAGCTGCAGGCCTTTAGGAACTGAGTTTGACTCCTGTGGTTTAAACACTGAAGAGCAATCATCGATGCGCAGCTCTACAGGTCAGGCTTCTGCTGTGGTGAGATGAACAGATTGCACTGAATATTGATTAAATCTCTGTAGTTTATTATTTTGAATCGGTTTATTAGTATTAAAAAGGGCTGCTGGTGATGAGTGATTGGTGATGTGAATGGACATGGACCATGGATCGTGCGCTGTATTTATTTCTGCAGATTGGACACTGCACAATTTCTGTTGTCCTGAGCAGCTGGATATTTCTGTATATGCAGGGCATTCTCTCTGTCTGCCGCTCTTTTGTCTCGCTCCACGTGTGTGTGTGTGTGTGTGTGTGTGTGTGTGTGTGTGTGTGTGTGTGTGACTCAAGGTTTCTGCCATGTTTCCATGCCAACAAGGCCATTTGGATTTATTTACCTTGAGAGACACTGAAGGAGGATTGAGGGATGAAGCAGAGCCGCTTTATTGGAGGACAGATGAATGAACGAGTGCACTTCGCCATTTCAATGAATAACATCCATACAGAGCATTCTCTCTCTCTTTTCCCCTCTCTCTCTTCATTCGTCTTCTCTTTATATTCCTCTTCTCTTTTTACTTCTTCTCTTATATTTCTTTTATCTTCTCTTCTTGCAGTCTTTTCTTCTATTCTCATTCATTTTCTTTTCGGCTAAGTCCCTTTATTAATCAGGGGTCTTATCCAGCATATGTTTTATGCAGCGGATGCCCTTCCAGCTGCAACCCATCACTGCGAAACGCCCATGCACTTTCATTCACACTCATACACTACGGCCAGTTTAACTCATCAGTTTCCCTATAGCGCATGTGTTTGGACTGTGGGGGAAACCGGACGAAACCCACGCGAACATGAGAAGAACATGCAAACTCCACGCAGAAATGCCAACTGACCCAGCCAGGACTCGAACCAGTCTGTTGCCTTTCTATTAGCTGAAGCCAGTCTGGCCATTCTCCTCTAACATCAACAAGGCTTTTGCGCCCACAGAACTGCCGCTCACTGGATATTTCCTCTTTGTCGGAGCATTCTCTGTAAAGCCTAGAGATGGTTGTGCGTGAAAATCCCAGTAGATCAGCAGTTTCTGAAATACTCTGAGCAGCCCGTCTGGCAGCAACAACCATGCCACGTTCAAAGTCTCTTAAATCCCCTTTCTTCCCCATTCTGATGCTCGCTTTGACCTGCAGCAGATCGACTTGACCATGTCTACATGCCTAAATGCATTGAGTTGCTGCCATGTGACTAGAAAATTGTGTTAACAAGCAGTTGGACAGGTGTACCTAATAAAGTGGCCGGCGAGTGTGTATGTATATGGATTTCAGCAGTTGTGATGATGTGTGTGTGTGTGTTTGTAGGTCTGACAGTTTCAGTTGTCATTGAAACTCTACATGAATGTATGCTGTGCTTGGTCGTGTGCTGTTTGTGTCTCTGAGATGTTGCTGTGTGATCAAGTTATCTCTGCTTCATTATGTATCAGCATTAATGAGTGTGTGAATGCAGCTCTGAAGACTGATGCACAGACAAACAACAACAGCAGATTGATTGTCACAGTCACACTGACCTGACACACACACACACACACAGTGTTGTTGTCTCTGTGTGTGTGCGTGCGTGTGTGTGTGTGTGCGTGCGTGTGTGTGTGTATATCCATGTTAGAGTTTCTGTAAGTGTGTGTGTGTGTATGTGTGTGTGTGTGTGTGTGTGTGTGTGTGTGTGTGTGTGTGTGTGTGTGTGTGTGTGTGTATGTATGTGTGTGTGTGTGTATATGTGTATTTGTACTTATGCATATGTAAGCCTGTCTGAGTGGGTGTGAATGTGTGTTTGTGAGTGTGTGTGTGTGTGTGTGCGTGCGTGCGTGCGTGCGTGTGTGTGCCCACGTATATGTGTGTATATCCATGTATGAGTTTCTGTAAGTGTGTGTGTGTGTGTGTGTGTGTGTGTGTGTGTGTGTGTGTGTGTGTGTGTGTATTTGTACTTATGCATATGTAAGCCTGTCTGAGTGGGTGTGAATGTGTGTTTGTTTGTGTGTGTGTGTGTGTGTGTGTGTGTGTGTGTGTGTGTGTGTGTGTGTGTGTGTGTGTGTGTGTGTGTGTGTGTGTGTGTGTGTGCGTGTGTGTGTGCGTGCGTGTGTGTGTGCGTGCGTGTGTTTGTGAGTGTGTGTGAGTGTGTGTGTGTTCATGTGTACGTATGTGTATGTGTATGCACCTGTGTGTGTGAGTGCATGTGTGTGTGTGCATATATGTGTGTGGACACCTGGTATTCATCATGTTCTGGGGACCAAATGACCCCACAAGTATAGCAATACCAGTAAAGTACAGTCTGTACTGTATAAACATCAGTACAGATATAGAGAGAGGCCGTGTGTGTGTCTGTTTATATGGCAAATTTTTGCCAGCAGCTTTTGCACACATACAATTTTTATTTTATTTTTCATGTTTTTTCCCACAAACATATTATTATTAATGTGATGTTGTTTATTTCATTTTATTCAGCCAAGACTTACACAATACAGCATCATTTTGACCATTTTGTCATTATATATTGTTGATACGTTACTTAGAATTTAGTTATATTTATAGTTAAAGCCAAAATTTTACCTACTTGCGTTTATATCGATGTTAATATTTAGCTGCACCATGTTGGTGTTTTGTAACACTTTTTTTACGAGGTGGCCCAACACTCAACCCCCATCCTGGAGGACCAGGACACACACTCAAACACCACGGCCAATTTAGTTCATCAATTCCCTTATAGCGCATGTGTTTGGACTGTGGGGGAAACCGGAGCACCCGGAGGAAACCCACGCCAACACGGGGAGAACATGCAAACTCTACACAGAAACGCCAACTGACCCAGCCAAGGGTGTG